CCCGTGAAAATTTTGTTCCAGTAAGTTGCTAACTCAGGGGCCACGGAAGCTAGGAAGCTGAAATTTTAGGGGGATGTTTCCTGACTGTTCTGGCGGCCAGTCTTAGTTTGTTTAGCTGGAAGTATTTGCCGAAAAAATCGGTGCCGTGCAACAAAAACTGCGGGGAACCATGCAAAAAACGCATCTTTGCACGGGCAGCCCGTGCGTTGGCCAGTTATTTGTATTCAGTTTTATATTGCTGAGAGACGAAAGTCATTTAACAGCACATCTAAAAATAAAGCCCATCGGTAATTTTGCTTGAATTGCCGCATTTCCTTTTAAAAAATCACACATAAATGTGGGACATAATGTTTCTTGCTAGTGCCAGAGAGTTGCAGCTTTTGCTTTTGCCCAGTATTTGGAATTTCTGATTCGTAAAATCTTCAGGAAAGAGCGACTCATATCCAGCGTTCAAGCCAGACAGCGAGTTAAGCAACTGCAAGAAGAAATCGAGTACCAGGAATACCCCGAGTCCTTTATTGCCAGTACTGTTTTAAACTCAACTCCCATTTATTTCGCTCACTTCGATCACCACCTACCTATCCACAAAGCCATCTGTTTCTGATGAATTCATCACACAAATGCATTTTCATCGCTCAAACACAGTTTTCCTGTCTTTTTAAAGAAGTTTTCCGCTTAATCTCTTTTAATAAAGCTTATTTGTTGATCTATTCTTTGTTCTCACAGAAGCACTGCTTCATAAAAAAAAATAAAGATGTACGGGCATTCTGTGGACATTTGGTGACAAAAAAATGAGATAAATCGAGGCGCGAAGGTGTACATAGGTTGGGCGTCCCAGTAGGTCGGCAAGCAAGTAGTGCTGCTGCGGGCACAGCAATAACGAGATGTGGTTAGTTGTATTGACGGTTTCCGGCTGCTTTATAGTGCGAGTACCATCATGCTAGCTGTGATATGTTTTATAGGAAGGCAACAATTGCTTTTAATGCGTTCATGCCTGTAGTGCATGTGCTGGAGTGCATACTGTTTTTTTTTTCCAATG